AGGGTTGAGAAGAGAAAGAGAAGGTTAAGTGTTAATTAATTAAAGCATTAAGCAAATGTTATTAAAGGAGAACTCTGTGCCGGGGGTCAAAACATTGGCAAAGTTCCGGGCGTTTGTTTAAGAAGTTACAGCCCTGAAAAATGATAGTTCATTGCTGCAGTCCTTTCCCGACTCAAAACAAGGGGGGACCCCAAGCTTCCCTCCTTCGATCAGTGGCAAAATGTGGGATCTTTAGGAACTTCCAAAGATTCTCAAGAGCCCCCAAAATAACTTGCCATAGGCTTATTTGGGGGCTGCAAACGTGAAACCCAGAGCTGGGAGGGAGGCTTTTGCACATTCTGTGTTCGTGTCACATCATTTTCGCCAGGTGTTGCTTACGCTTCTGCCAATGTTTTGTTCTTTCTCCATTTAGAAAAAATAATCACTGGGCATCTGGTGAGGCCTAAGAGTCTGCTAGCGCCAAAAATCCAATCTGAAAATGCCTAATAGACAAACACTTAGACTCTCTGCCTTCTATTCAGAATGATGAAAAGTTTAGCAAAAGGGCACATATGGGATGAGCCAAGAAGGCACCCAACCTTGACACGTATTTTTCCTTTTATGACCTTTCCTCAATCAGCCTCTCTCATGTGCTTTCAGAGAAGGGCCCAAATGGCTCATTAGCTCTGAAATCCTCCTTGTTCCTCATAAAAATCCCCTCAAAGGAATAAGAAAATCTAGTACATACTCAGGCTGAGGGCAGTGAACCAAAGCTAGGTTCAAATCATTCCTTCAACCCTTTTCCTTTAATCATTTCCTTTGTCCCGATCAGTTACTACAGAGCTACAAGAGGAAAAACCAGGAAAAGTGCATTTGAAAAAGAAGGCTTACTGTGTGTTCTGAGGCATTTCATGTCACAACCAAGAGCGTTGGTAACTTTTAAAGAGAGGTGGAAAATTGGCTTTGACGCCTGACACAGGGTTACCAGATAATTGCATACTGAGTTTCAAACTTTTTTAGGCATATTCACTGATTCTGAGAGTTTGTCTTTCTGGGGACTGTAAAGATAGTTGTATACTTGAGCCACTGTGGGAAAAGGTGTCAAAACTAACATGGAAGATGTTGAAACTAACTGAGAGGACTCTTCCATCCTAATTTAGAGAAAATGTGTGGGAAAATGAGCTACAATTCCTTTGAATTTCAGCATATTTGCCTGAGTCTGTATCACGGGATGTAAGGTCAAGGTCAAAGAATTTTTCAAGAGGTAGTTAAACAGTCTTCTGGAACAAGCAACAGGCAGGTGTGGAGGAAAGCCTCCATACCCAAATTCAAGGTCTTGATTAAATGTAGCCCATCTCCAAGGACAAGTCCCATGGGAAAGGTATACAGCAGGTGGGAGGAAAGCTCTGCATAGCTCACAAGTCTCATGCAAGGTTAGGGAAAGTTGAATTTGTTCATTGTAGGAGCCAGAGGAAAGCAATCAAAGACCAAACTGTGGGTGAAGTCACTCAATATTCGTTAAATAACACAGACATATCTGCTATTTCATTCTAGAAAGGGAAACTGAGAACTCTGAAATCCTGAGAACATCACAGGGTACATGGGGACAAACTGCAGATCTAAAGAAAATAACTTGAGATTTCTTTCCCCCCCTGCCTTTCTTTTTATTTTTAAATTAAGCAGAAAAGTCTCCAAAACTAATTGAAAAACAAACCAAAAAACAACCTTGCCTTGAGGTCAAGTCACCCACCACCCGTGACATGCTGTGATAATGTTATTAATGGAGCTCACAGAAGCACTGTTAGTAATGGGTGTTTGTTTCGGCAGCCACACATGCATGGAACTGGCTTAACTCACTGTCTCCTCATGAACGCACCTTAGCGGGAAATGGCTTTAGCAGGAAGCAATGTACCAAGGCTAAATGGAGGCAAATGGAGTTGTACCGGGGCAGAACGCTAACGGGAGGGAGCACCTAGCTGACGTCAGCCAACAAACGACCTGGGCCACGGGTCCTCGGACTCCTTGTGGGTCAGTCATTTGGAAACAGAGGCGACGTACATTTCAAAGCCTGCACAGCTCTTCCCTGCCTCCCACCATGTTTCAGGTTAACAAATGTGCTTGGGGAAAATAACAAATGATGTTTTATTTAAAGAAGAAGGTGATCAGTTTTGGAGCGCATACTTATAATCCATCCTAATAGGAAACAGATTCATCGATTCCTAGTTCCTGGAATCGCCTGGCTTCCTATTTGTCTCAGCTATTGCACCCAGCAGAGAGTTAACCTTCTGAGAGAGTGACAGCCGTGTTTCTCCATACTCTGCTGAAACCCCCAACATCTGGATGAGACAGGATGATCATCCCTGCTACAATTCAAGGGCAGTGAAGACAAACGGCTCTGAACTCAGATTTTAATTAGATTCTTAACCAGGCAACAGTAAACATATTATTTTAAATTAAAATTTTAAAATTTCAGACGGGGATAGAGTAGAGAAAGGACAAGATGAAGGGGCATTTCATACATATTTTTACCCCTTATACCTGTTTTTTTCCCCAGGCATTTATTTCTACAACCATATGCTTCTTTTAAAAACTCCTACACCGGGACTTCCCTGGGGGCGCAGTGGTTAAGAATCCGCCTGCCAATGCAGGGGACACGGGTTCGAGCCCTGGTCCGGGAAGATCCCACATGCTGCAGAGCAACTAAGCCTGTGCGCCACACTACTGAAGCCAGCTCTCCACAACTACTGAAACCCGCACGCCTAGAGCCCGTGCTCCGCAACAAGAGAAGCCACTGCAATGAGAAGCCTGTGCACCGCCATGAAGAGTAGCCCCCGCTCGTGGCAACTAGAGAAAGTTGCGCGCAGCAACGAAGACCCAACGTAGCCAAAAATAAATAAATAAATTTATTAAAAAACAAACAAAAAAAAACCACTCGGAACTTCTGAGGCAACTGCTATGATTGATATCCTGCTCAGAACTTGGCAAACGGCTTTCTCTAGCAAGAATTTCTCACACTCTATCCTGTCAAGGGTCTGCTTTGCAAATTTCACCTATGCGTGAAATTGTCTGCCTGTGAACACGCAATCAGAATGGAAGCTGAAGGGTTAAAAACAAAAAATCCCAGCCTTCAGGAGGGGAAAAGCCACCCAGTTAACTCCATCCTCAATTAAGACTTTCATCATCTGAAGCGGAAAGCATGAAAAGCATTTCTGTTAATGAGATTTTGGCTGTCTTTTACTTGCCATAGAACAGTCCCGGGCATCCCAGGAAGCAGTGGGGAGAAGTGACCGCACTCACCGAATGTCGTCCCGGCCTCAGGCCTGCTCACCGACGACACAATGACGAAGCCGAAGCCCTCGTTCTCCCCGCGCCGGATCTCCACGTCGTAGGGCTGGACCACGGTGCTCACCACGCCGGTGCTCACCACACCGCTGCCGCCGCCGCCGCCGCCGCTGCCAATGCCACTGGTGCTGCCACTGCCGGAGCTCACCGTGTTCAGGGAGTTCTGGCTGCCCTGCGGAGTGCGCTTCTCCTCGGTCAGTGAGGCCGGCTGGTTGCTACTGTGATGGGAGGAGGCTGGCGAGGGCACCTCGTTCTCTGTTTTGGAGGCTGTGCAAGAGATGCACCTCTCAGTTACCCGCCTTTGCGAGAAACGTGCCCTGCCTGCCACCCCTTCCTCCTTCCCCCAAGACTCCGCAATGAAATCAAGAGAGTGACAGCTATGACAGCAGCTGGCCTCACAGAACTAGGATACAGGAATTGAAAAGAGCTCATGGAAAAACACCAAAGGGGGTACCCCAATTCTGTATCATTTACAGCATATTGTATCTCAACATCTGCATACAGACTCAAATTTGCAGCAAGATCGGCGCACTCTGAAACATTTCCCGGTTCACAAATCAAAAAACAACCCGTGGACATTATGATGAGTGAAATGAGTCAGACAAAGAAAGACAAATGCTGTATGAGATCACTTATATGTGGAATCTAAAAAATACAACCAACTAGTGTATATAACAAAAAAGAAGCAGACTCACAGATATAGATAACAAACTAGAGATTACCAATGGGGAGAAGATGGGGGGTGGGGCAATATAGAGGTAGGGGATTAAGAGGTACAAATTATTAGGTATAAAATAAGCTACAAGGATATATTGTATGACACTGGAATATAGCCAATAATTTATGATAACTATAAATGGAGTACAACCTTTAAAAATTGTGAATCACGGCCTTCTACACCTGTAACTTACATAATATTGTACAGCAACTGGACTTCAATGAAACAAACAAACAAAAATGACCCACTGAAGGAAGGATAGATGTGGCCCGCAGCAAGGGTGACTCTACCATTTTTGCCTCAGAGACACGCCCTTCGCTGCACTCAAATTGTCAGCACCCTCAAGTCACATTCTGCTCAGATTTGCAAACAGTTTTGCTTTGTTTTTTCCATCACCGGAGACATGGTAAGCTGACAGTACCATTAAGATTTCCCTACCTGTGGGATTCCTGACAACACCTGTCAGAGGTATACTTAGCTTCTCTTCCTCGCTTCCAGATGTCAATGATCTACTCTGATCACACAATTGGATACATTAGCCTCCCTCAGAATTCGTCTTATCAAATTTCAGTTTTATTGCTTTCTCAAGTGACAGGGTAAAGCACTCCCAAATAGCCACCGTAGTAGGTGGGACCGACTTAGTTTTCATGCCAAAAGCAAAATATGTGTTCAGGTTTTGGATAGGACTACTAAATTTATTCCCCAAAGCATCTCCTTTCACAGATTTCACTGTTATTGTAGTAAAATATACAGAACATAAAACTTATTATTTTAACCATTTTAGGTGTACAGTTCAGTGGCATTAAGCACAGAAACACTGTTATGCAGCCATCCCCACCATCCATCTCCAGAACCCTTTCATTTTCCAGAACTGAAATTCTGTACCCATTAAACACTAACTAATCACTCTCCCCTCCCCAGCCCCTGGTACAGCCAGCATTCTACATTCTGTCTCTATGACTTGACTACTCTAGGTACCTCATGGAAGTGGAAGCATATAATATTTGTCCTTTTGTGACTGGCTTATTTCACTTAGCCTTATGTCTTTTCAAAGATTGAACATGCCTTTAACCCAGAGCTTAAAAACCCCAATATTTAAGATCTAAAAAATAAATCTGAAACAAACAAAAATCACATTGCTCTACTATTTTTATTTGGACCAGTGAAGTCAGAAAGTTTTCATCTCATCTCAAAAGCCATTTCTGATTGCTGCTACTGGTTGCATGGGATACTACGTTAAGATCCTGAGGCCATAAATGAGCTCTAGGGACATAAGTGATTAACACTCTTTTCATGGCTACAACAGGTAGGGCTGTCACACTGGAATCTGATATCTTAATTCTTTTGTAATTAATTATATACCATTTAAATGAGCTCTATGAATTTTTTTTTTTTTTTTTCGGCCGTGCCAGGAGGCATATGGGATCTTAGTTACCCAACCAGGGATCGAACCCATGTCGCCTGCAATGGAAGCGAGGAGTCTCAACCAGTGGACTGCCAGGAAAGTCCCTATGAGTTATTTTGTTTGTTTGTTTTTAAAACAAGATGCCAGTTGATTTTATCTGATAAACAGGTGTTTCACTAGTATTACAGCTATGGAGAATTCCTAATATTTCACGTCATCCTGCTTCAGTAATTCAACTGATACCACATGGAATCTGCCTCTTCTGCATTCTGGGTTCTGTCTTGAATACCTGGAGGCAGGGGCTGCAGGCAAAGGTGGTGAATGAGTGGGAAGGGCAGACACTTACCCAATACTGCCTCAAAATGGCAGATTCTGATACGGAAGTGAACCACGATGCCCAAGGATGGCAAGAAGGGAAAGCTGAACTCAGCAGACAGTTGGAGGAAGCAGGGAATTTCTGAGGGTTTTACAGATAAGGTTATCTTTGTGTTGGGCCTGGAAGGATGTATACGAATTTGAGTTGCAGGAGGAAGGACTCAAACATGACCTAGAACTGGCCAGCTCTACAACTTGCTTATAGTGAAAAATGTAAAAATTAAAATAGTTTAATACATATGACTGTCAACAACAGAGCAGCTTTTTTATGAGCTTATTTGGCAGTGCAAACCTAATTTTTGCTCTCTTAATTTGAAGCTACAATTCTCTTAACCTCTTTTGTTGAGAATTCTCATCAAGTGAAGAGAATGACTAGGTTCTGTTTAGCAAGGGGATGGAGGGAGGTAACAGATATATTCAACTAGGCTTCTTCTAAAAGCCTTTGCTGAACATGTACGGATGGCACACTAAAGTGCCTTTTTTTTTTTTTTTTTTGCGGTACGCGGGCCTCTCACTGATGTGGGATCCTCCCAGACCGGGGCACGAACCCGTGTCCCCTGCGTCGGCAGGCGGACTCTCAACCACTGCGCCACCAGGGAAGCCCCATTAAAGTGCTTTTGAGTGACAGTAGTTTTGCAGGGTTCCATCTGGAAATTCTGAGCTTAATCACATTTATAAACATTTGCTAAAATACATGCTTGAGGAGACGGACACAGGAAAGGGGCCTCTTCTGTGCGTAAAGTGACAAGGCACTGTCTAAAGGGATGAATGAAAAACATACCTGCAAACACCACTTTACGCCGCACTGTGAGATTGACGTGACCTTGCTTGGCGGCTTGTTGCATAAGCTGGACCACAAGCTGGTGTGATTTGCCAATGACTGGTGTCCCATCCACACAGATTAATTCATCCCCAGATCTCAGGCGGCCGTCTGTATCAGCAGCACCCAGTGGTACGATGTGACCGATATAAATCTGTTGAGTAAATGGATGATGGATGAAACACTGACCTTTTGGTTTACTATTACAGGCACACCTCGGGGATATTGCAGGTTTGGTTCCAGACCACCGCAATAAAGCTAATGTCACCACAAAACAAGTGACATGAATTTTCTGGTTTCCCAGTGCACATAAAAGTTATGTTTACACTATACTGTAGTCTTAAGTATGCAATAGCATTATGTCTAAAAAAAAAGTACATACCTTAATTTAAAAAATACTTTATTGTTAAAAAAAATGCTAAACATCATCTGACAACGTAGGGCTGCCATCAAACTTCAATTTGTAAAAAAAAATGTAATATCTGTAAAGCACAATGAGGTTTGCCTGTAAAACGATGGCCTTCACAATCTCTGAGAACAATTCAATTCATTCATTCATGTCTGCGTCCATGCCACAAACGCTTACTGAGTGCCCACTGGGTACCAGGTGCTGTGCTAGGTGATACAATAATTCTTAAATGGAAAAAATAACTTTTTCTTGTTTAGTACCCTGACATTTATCTGTGGTTTGCTGACTCATTGTTTTTTCCCCTTTGCAAAAATAAATCATTTTACCCCCTTCATTGGCAAAACTTTTTCCCCTTTTCTATCCACCTAAGAGGCCTCTGTTCAGAAAACTCTACTAATTATAATACTAATACAACTTTGCTTTAAAGGTCAGCATGTGCCTAGCAAAAGGGAATGCATGATAAGTGCTGTTAAATGAAGGGATGAATCAAGCCAAGTCTGGTTGGGCATCCCTATTTGCATAGTCTATAGCACCTGCATGCAGAGCAGGTCTTTATATTTTGTGTCTTGCTGTTGTTATACTAACCAGTCACTAAACTTTAGCTAAAATATTTGTGCCTTTCTTGCCTTCTCTCTAGATAATGATGCTACAGCGATCTTTACATGGCATTTATCATTTACAAAGAACTTTGACAGAAGAGTGCTTAAGAACATGGACTCTGGAATCACACCCTTTCCAGTCCCTCCATTTACTAACTCTGCGGTGCCAGGCAGGTTCATTAACCTTTCTGTGTCTTTATTTCATGATTTGAAAAATGGGGATAGATTCATAGATTTGATGGATACATGAGAAGAATGGGTGTTAGAAGCCTTTAGCATAGCACCTGGCACATAGGAAGCACTCAAGAAATAACCGCTATTTTTACTGTGATGAGGAAATGAACAATACTTATCTTTAGTTCTCTTTTCCCCTTTCCAACGAATCCTGTGACGTTCTCCTCAATTTATTCTAAAGATGAGGCCTGGAGAGGTTAAATGTCTCCTGATCCTTGTTCAGGGTTCTTTCTCTAATTTTGTAAAGAGGGTGGTCCTACTTTCTCTAACCTTTCATAATGCCTTGTCAAGCGCTCTCTGTCCTAGCTACTCAATATACAAAGCCAACTACCTGCTGGCAGATTTAACAGAATTGGCCAGAAGGATCAGGCCACTGTATTCCCAGTTGATGTCTATTCCTATTTTGCTTTTCAGTTCCCTTTTCTCTGATGGGGAGCTCCAGACGCTGCAGCTGCCGCTTTCCACAAAAATGAACACACTTTTTAGAAAGGATCTAGTCCCTTCTTCCTCAAGACACAAAGAGCTCACAAAATCCAAAGAATAACCCCCAGTGCTTAAGATGAAACAGTCAGGGAGTATATATGTGTATGTATGTATATATATATATATATATATATATATATATAAATTATATTTATATACAACTGAATCACTTTGCTGTACAACAGAAATTAATACAACATTGTAAATCAACTATACTCCAATAAAATTTTTTAAAAAAGACGAAACAGGGGTCCATCTGGTGGGACTCAAATCTTGGTGATTTGTCACTGCTGCCAATTTGCTTTGAAGTCTTAGAAAACTGCATGGGGTGGTGCGGGGTAGGGTGGGATGGGGGGTAAGGGGAAGGGAGACAAAAGACTCACAGGTTCCCCTGGTTCATTGCCACCCAGAATCCTAAATCCAAATCCAGTCTCTTTTCTCCAGAGGAAGATGTCCTGTTCTTGATAATCTGGAACTGCAGAGAGGGATGAGGAAGAGAGGGATTATTTCTCTGATCAAAGGAATCAGAGCCCTAAGGCGAACACAGTTAACAGGACCGATACTGATGGTGTTTCCAATACACACAAGCAAACAAAATAATCTGGATGGGTGTAATAACAGAGGACACTGGGTGAAAGTAAATGGTAGGAATAGTCACTGAGCCTTAAGATTTTTTTCAAAGGACTAATCACTGTTTGATAATTCCTAATCAAGCCATTATCCCTGATGAAGGCTGCAGTCAGCACTCACCACTCTCCTGGGTATTGTTGCAAGGGGAATTAAATAAATTAAAATCACCAGGCTCTGCATCACAAAGTGGGTGCCCATGTCTGAGGAAGGAGCTCATGCTGTCAGAGTGACCTCTGAAGTAGAGGTTGGCTCCGAGGATTTAGAAGACCTCTTAAGTGCCTGATGTTATCAACTAGAAGATGAAAGAAAACAGCTTGAGGTAAAAAGTGTTCTCAATTAAAAAAAAGAAAATCACTTCTTTTTTCCCTTAAAGTAATCAAGACTAGCAATGCCAATAATATGATCTTTAGATCATTTTTGCCAAGAGTTACTCTCAAACATCCTAATATTTCCAAATTTACAAAATTTACTATGATTTCACTGCTATTATGAAAAAGTAGTCAGCCTTCTATATCCTTGAGATCACTGGTGAGAACAAAATTGTCCTATATCTATGAGCCATATTTCATCACTAAAATAAGTGCTTTATTCCGGTATTTGCCTATAATATTTCACCACTATAAGTTCTCATTTATTATCTAACAGCTTGATATTTTACTTTTAAAATTCAGTAATAGTCCAGGGCTTTCGAATGGAAATCTCATTCTTTTTTTTAAAAGAAAAGTATTTTCCTTAAGAACATGCTTACTGTACGTGAGATTGTCCTATATGCCACTCTGTTACTTAACTAAAGTAATAAAAAAAGGGTTACTTCTATTTAATTCTTACTTAATATTTTAGTGTTTAAGTAGTATGTTTTACAGTCTGTAAAATGACACATCTTTTATTTAAAGAAAAAAATATATAATTTAGTGGCCATGAATCCTAAAGGAGATTTTCAAATACTGTTCTGCAGAATTTCTGGTTTCTTTAATTCCTTGGCTTTGGGGCTGAAGGAGTGTGTATGTACTGAGAACTTAATTCCCATCTTCTCTGATTTTGTACAATGGAATAGGGAAGAAGGTGGTTGTTTAGACTTCAAGCTAGCGAGAGATGTCCCTTTTTCGGGACTCACCCATGAGCTTAAAATGTACACCGAGAGAGAAGAAACTAAATGAACACGTAAGCACCAGTCAGAGGAGTCTGAATCGAATATTCGTGCTTGAGCTATCTTAATGCCATGCTTTCAAGGGAGCTTCTTATCCAATGCTTTTTTATTATAATTGCTGAGGCTAAGCTGTAAGATGCCATGGTATATGGAGTTAGGCTACAGCACGGGACACAATTCGAGAATGGTATTTTCTTCCGCATGCTAAGGTAACAATATTTTCTTTCTGTTTGAGTTGCTGGCTATTGTTTCAAGAGCCTCGTTGAAACAACAAATTAAATCAGGTTGAGTCTCCGTCATCTTTGGTTCACTCAAGCTGGAGGATTACTACCAAAACAGACCATGGGTGCTTTCCAGCCAGCACTAGGTTCTTGGCAGAGTCTGCTTGAAATCTGATGAGCCCTTCTGTGAACAAGGGAAAGACCTCTGCAGAGACCTCCAGCTCAGACCAATTTTTTCTGCAGCATCATTTAACACAGGAACACCTGCCCATCCTACAGTGTCACCAAATGTAGCAAGTTTCTGCCTTTTATTGCTCAGTTAGGAGTAAGCCACCATGGGATGGGCAATTATGGCCAACAGACTTAGGCTTATCATACAGTTCAGTCCATTGGAAAATAATTTGTTCCTCTGAGAATTAATAAACAGATGGCAAATTTATTTTAAAAGCTTCCTACTGAAAACGAAGATGCCCAATGACAGACACCAAGGATGCAGAAGATGCCAATGATGAGCCTTTCAGGAAAACACACACAAACACAGATGTGTTACAAAGAAAGTCTTTTGGTCCTTGAACTTGGGCATCTCGACAATGACATTCTTCTACGAACCAAATGCCATGTTCTAAATATATAACTTTGATGATCAACCAGTACTGAAACATATTAGAGAATTACAGAATGATTTTTCTCTTCTTTGTCCTCTGCTGTCCCTTCTTAGCAAGGGCACTAAAGTTTCTAAACTATTCCCCCCAAACATTTTTTGTTCTCTTCTTTATTTCAGGCAGATTTTATCAGAATTAAGTTTTCAGGAGGCAGCAGGGTAGAACCATCTTTCTGATATTACTATCACCCCCCCCCCTTCTTTTTGAGACTAAATCAAGAAGAGCTAAGAAAATCTCATCCAGCTCTCTTCACTTCTAAGCCCTGGTACAGGGGACAATCAGAGCAGCTCATTTCCTTTGGTAATTCCACCAATGACCCAATAAAGCAGTCAAAAGACTTCCTTTGATAATTAGAAAAAATGGAATCACCATGTTTGCAGAGAACCCTCCTGGCATCTCTATTACTACAGACACACAACACACTGGCAGACTTGGCTAAAACATGCCCACCACTTTTAATTTCATCTTGTCTTTGCTCTAGCCTTGGTCAATAAAAACACCCCAAACACTTCTGTTCGTGGCATCCCTCTTTCTTCCCTCCTTTTTCTGAGTTTCTTTCTAGCCCCCTAGACCAATGGGAACATCAAACAGGATGAGTAATAATGGAGAAATGAAAGTTTTCGGCAGATCCTTACTCTGACATTCTCCAAAATTCGTGGAATTGATTTCTTTGTCTCTTTCACCCTTGCTCAATCCCGATGCAGGCGAAGGTGACATAGCTGGAATAGTAATGTCACAATTTTGCAAAGCTGAATGTATGTGCTTTTTCTTAGTTCATTTTAATTTAGTTTTGATTGATAAGGAACGTGCAGTTAAGCTTTCACAATAAAGGTCAAGGCTGCTGCGGATTTTAAAAGACTATGGTTTGATTCTTTTTTTTTTCCACAGTACTTTTCTTGTCAAAAAGCTAGAATTTACAACTGTACCGCTGAGAATTTCACAGAACTACCTTTACCATCTTAGACTCTTCCTATTTAACTATACCCTGAAGTACCCATTCTCTTATGACCTTGTTTGAATCATGTCATGAACTTGAGATCTGTCTAACCCCTTATTTCCTTTTGAAAAAAGTTAAGCATACTTTTGTCACTGCCACATTACTGTGTTTATTTAAAATAGTATCAAGTTCCTGGTGGGATTACTTCTTGGGCTAAAACCTGTTCAGATGAATTCTAGGGCAGTTCAACCAAAATAGTCTTTTGTTTAGTGACACAAATCATCAGATCTGGCCAAGAGCTGAACAAATACACAAATAAGAACTGTCATAATAGCTCTTAAAATCTAGACATACACCCAAGCTCCTTAAACTATGATAAAGGAGCTGTACACCAATTCCAGACCATTAAGCATGTCTCTCTCTCGAGGGACAGGGGTACGCTGGTTAAAATGACAGCTTTGTCATTTTTCTTTCCCAACTCTTCTGTGAACAGGCAGAGTTTGAACTGCAAGCTTTAGATTTTGTTTCACAGTAAACACTAGTGGGTACTAGCTGCTCTTCCTGAACACTTACAAATAAGATTGCATCGATGCCATTTTTAAAAGATGTACACAACTGGTGTGTTATCTGGAGAAAATACAAACAGGCAACATGGCTTTTAAAGGACTTCCACGCATGCTTTTTCCTTCTTTTTTTTTTCTTTAATAAATCTTGGGTTTTTTCGAATTTTATTTTATTATTTTTTAATACAGCAGGTTCTTATTAGTTATCTATTTTATACATATTAGTGTACATATGTCAATCCCAATCTCCCAGTTCATCCCACCACCACCACCCATGCATGTTCTTAATTGAACACTTAAGCTCCTCAGAGGGATTTATTAACACATCTGTAATTCAGATTGATTCAACTGGACACTGCTGTTTTGACAGATGGCTATATCAAGAATGCTGTATTTTGCACGGTATTCAGACCATGTGAAGGAACTGGATCAGAGACTTTGTTAAGAATCTTCACAATGTCCTTTACAATAAAATGAAATATGAGGAAAATATATTTTCCCAAAAAAAGGGGGATAAATTAAGGGTACAATTAAGATGCTACTGCTGACTTTAATTTTCTTGTTTTTTTTCCTGGAGTACTTTGCTCATTTTAATATGTCTTGGGGAGAGGGGCAGGGAATCACATCTAATGAGGCTACATGCTTTACTTTTTCATTTTTTTCCAAAAGACAAGATAAAAAAACAGCCTAAGGGAATGGCAGAAACCGATCTGGGATAAAGCCAAATACTGATTAAAAGACAAGATTAAAAAAAATAAAGACAAGATTGACGTAGGTTCATTCTTAGGTACTGTGAAAAAAAGAAAATCTGTGACAGATACTGAATAATTATCATGGAGGGAAAAGTCTCATCATTATCCTGATTTAGTGGTGAGGAAGAAATCTATGTGAATTTTAACATCAGTTAGGTTGCTACAATCACTCAATTATGGAGCCTCTAATCAGCAAAAAAACCTGATTCTCATTTGTGCTGCTAGATCCTATTCCTTAGATGTTCAAGAAAGTTAAGGCCTAAACTGGCACCATTACAAATATTTCAGTCTGCCTCTCATTCAATGCTTAGAGCAGCTGGCTGTGGCAGAATTACATATTTTTCTTATTTTTTTTCTGGTGAAAACTTTTTAAAAAAATGGATTAAATACCAAATTCTGAAGAAATACTGCTTCCATCAAGGTAAAAATGCCATCTGAGCTACAGCCTCCTATTCTTTGGGTGCGTTACAATTGTCTGTCAATCCATGAGGCCCGCACCAGCACTTTAGAACCCGATTTACTTTATTGCAAAAAGATTCATACATGGGAAACTCAGTCATAAATGTGTACTCTACTGAGAAAAGCAGGGGCATAGTCAACAAAGCAGTTATCTCCACATCAACTGAAGTAGGGCCATTGATTGGAGGACCTGCATGATTAAAGAGAAATGTGAAGGGAATGTGAAAATATTCCTCTTTGGAAAACATTTCTTCCACGAAATCATTCCAATTAGTGAGAAGACACAGTGAGAAGAGACACCAGGTTCATGCTTAGCAACTACTGCTTACAAGGGATGTTCCAAATGGAACTTCATTTCCTCTGGCCCGGAGTGAGGTGTACTCAGGGGTCTTTCTAGTCCAGGGACTAAATAAATCCCTTCTCAAGTTATCAGGCTTTTGCCAGCATAGTGAAGCCTTAGTCAAAACAGCCTACTTAATTCCACGCACTATGGTAGTAAGAAGGCAACGATTTCTCTTCCTTGAAGAGGAAAAGCACAGAGGGAGCCCTCGGTGACTTCTAAAACTTGATCATCACCAAGACTGCAGTCATGCCCCGTGCCTCCTAAGTGCTGACTTGCACCCAGCAGTGTGGGCCACTTTCCATCTCAGGCAGGGATGCTGTTCTCACTCCCCTGTTTGGTTTGGGTCACAGAGGAGTGGCTCCAGCCAGCAAGTAAAATGCTTCACAGCCAAGTCCAA